TGCCACAGCGCCAGGGCTCACACCCTCCTCCATCTGTCTGAGGTGAACCAAAAACAACTGATACCAGCTCTCAGTGATATGTGTCGTGTCCCCGCTATGATAACAGTAACTTTCTTAAATGTTTACAAAACAAGCGGGAACCCAGTGTGCCTGAATATTTCTCTATTGCTGTTCAATTACATGATAGAAAATCTAAGGCCTTCAAAAGCCGTACAGCAAACCTATCTAATCTGGTGCCTATTACATGCCAAACTAAGATTGCTGTGGGGACAAAAAGTAAGACTGTGAAGTTAGCACTTTAAAACATCCGCTCACTTAAAAATAAATCACTTCTAGTCAACGACTTAATAACCACATACAACCTAGACTTTATGTTTCTAAATTAAACTTGGTTAGAAGACAGCTGCAGTGGAACAGTCCTCAATGAAACAACCCCTCCTAACTTTACTTTTATGAGTGTTTGCAGAGCGGGAAAGAGAGGCGGGGGCTTAGCTGCTCTTTTTAAAGATGTCTATGAATGTAAGCAAATATCATTTGGGAATTACCCGTCTTTCGAATATCTGGGTATTGTGTTAAAAGGTGCTCCATGTATTTTACTTATCATTATTTACAGGCCTCCAAAATTCTCTCCAGCCTTTGCTGAGGACTTTACAGAACTGCTATCAACAATTTCCTCAGAGTTTGACTGTTTTGCCATTGCTGGAGAGTTTAACATTCACATAGATAATGCAGAAAAAAATATGGCAAAAGAAATCAAAACTGTTTTAAAAACTTTTGATCTGACTCAGCATGTACATGGTCCCACACACAATCGTGGACACACTCTAGATTTACTTATCAGTAAGGGTCTAAACATCTCATCGATCACTCAAAAAAATTATATGTTGGCTTTACTTAACTTTTTTATGTAAACAGGTTCCACCGGTTCCACATAACTATGTTTCGTTAAACAAACATAATATGTTCATGTAACTTCAACATCATGGAATTTGGTCATTTTAAGCGACCCAATTAAACTCTGAGCTAAAGAGTTAATTGAGTGATGATTGAGCATTATTGAAGACACCTGATGTTAACAAGCAGAATCTCTGAAGGAGAAAACCGGAATGTTTAAGTCACCATTATGGAGATAAGTGTGTGTTTTAGTTGGGCTCTTGACCATTAACTTATTAACTTTAGATTTAGTTTGGTTGCTGTACATGAGTTATAACAGCCGGATGAACAATAAACAAACAAAGGTCATCTGATGGTATTGGTTGTGTTATAATCATTATTTCACAATCATTTGACCTGAGTCACTGAACTTATATTAAACCGAATTTCTGAGTTAAGTTAACCTTTCGAATAATAGCAGCATTGTCATTGTAGAGCGTATTATTTTTAGACTTTTTTTAATGAAATTCAAATGATCAAATCAATAAATAAAAAAGAAACTTCCTAAAAAATATTTTTGAGTAGGCACACACAGACATCAAGAATCAGCCTGTGAATCTCAACAATGGTGACAATTATAAAGCGTGTTGCAGTGCATTCTGGGTGCCACCAATCAAAACTCATTCATGGCTCCCATCATGCATTGCTGCATGAATAAATAATGAACTTATGATCTGTTTGTCACCATTGCTGAGATTCATATGCTGATTCTTGATGTCTGTGTGTGCCTACTCAGCATATTTTTTAAGAAGTTTATTTTTTATTTCTTGATTTGATCATTTGAATTTCATTGAAAAGCCTAAAAAATAGTATGCTCTACAATGACAGTAAGGTAAACTTAACTCAGAAATTGGGTTCAATATAAGTTCAGTGATTGAGGTCAAATGATTGTGAAATAATGATTGTTAAATCAAAACCAACACCATCAGATCTCCTTAGTTCATTGTTCATCTGGCTGTTATAACTCATGTACAGCAACCAAACAAAATCTAAAGTTAATAAGTTAATGGTCAAGAGCCCAACTAAAACACACACTTATCCCTATCATGGTGACTTAAACATTCCGGTTTTCTCCTTCAGAGATCCTGCTTGTTAACATCAGGTGTCTTCAATAATGCTCAATCATCACTCATTTATTCAATTAATTAACTCATTAGCTCAGAGTTTAATTGAGTTGCTTAAAATGTCCAAATTCCATGATGCTGAAGTTACACGAACATATTATGTTTGTTTAACGAAGCATAGTTATGTGGAACTGGTGGAACCTGTTTACATAAAAAGTTAAGTAAAGCCAACATATCATTTTTTTGAGTGTGTTATTAAGGATGTAGCACTATCTGATCATTTCTGTATTTGTTATATTGATCTCTCCTGCCATTGAAGCTAGATGTGTCTATCAAGAAGAGATGCTTAAATGAGAACAGTAGTGTGCTATTTATGAAGGCTATATCTTTAAAACCAAGCATATCTGCTGACTCTGTTGATTTTCTCCTTGATTCTTTTAACTCAAAAGTTAAAAGTTTAATTGATGGTATTGCTCCTGTGAAAGTCAGGAAGAATAGTGGTAGACGAAAAGCACCTTGGAGAAACTCAACAGCTGTGCAAAATATGAAAAGACAATGCAGAAGAGCAGAGCGCATGTGGCGGAAGACAAAACTTGTAGTCCATTATAACATCTACAAAGACAGCATCCATGCTTTTAATATTGAAGTAGGCAAAGCTAGACAGACTTTCTCGAATATTATAAACAGCAACTTAAACAACACACGCACTCTTTTTGCTACTGTAGAGAGACTGACAAACCCCCCAAGCCAGATTCCCAGTGAAATGCTCTCAGACAGCAACTGCAGTGAGTTTGCTTCTTTCTTCTCTGAGAAAATCAATAATATCAGAAAGGTGATCAGCGCATCATTGAGCCGCACTGGGGTCAGACAGATCAGACCACAACCTGAGAAAGTAGTTACTATGTCTGTTTTCGAAGAAATTGAAGGCAAAATTTTGGAAGAAACCGTACAGCACCTTAAAACATCAACCTGCGCCCTTGACGCACTTCCCACATCTTTTTTCAAGAGTGTGTTAAACTGCTTAGAAGCAGATCTCATGGTAAATGCCTCACTTATCTCTGGGAATTTTCCAAACTCCCTGAAAACTGCAGTTGTCAAGCCCCTCCTGAAAATGAGCAATCTGGATAAGACCATCTTAAGCAACTATAGACCGATCTCAAATCTTCCTTTCATAGGTAAGATCATTGAAAAAGTTGTCTTCATTCAGCTGAACAAATTCTTAAGCTTGAATGGATATTTGACAGTTTTCAATCTGGTTTCCGATCGCATCACAGAGACAGCGCTCATAAAGATAATAAACGATATTCACTTAAATACTGATACAGGCAAATTATCAGTGCTGGTACTACTCGACCTCAGTGCTCCATTTGACACTGTCGATCACGACATACTACTTGACAGGCTGGAAAACTGGGTGGGGCTTTCTGGGATAGTCCTAAAATGGTTCAGGTCATACTTAGAAGGGAGAGGTTATTATGTGAGTATAGGAGACCATAAGTCTGAGTGGACATCCATGACTTGCGGAGTCCCTCAAGGCTCAATTCTTGCGCCACTCCTGTTCAACATGTATATGCTCCCAATGAGCCAAATAATGAGAAAGAACAAAATTGCTTACAGAACGCTGCTGCCAGGATTCTGAGCAGGACCAGAAAATATGAACATATCACACCAGTCCTCAGGTCTCTACACTGGCTCCCAGTTACATTTAGGATTGATTTTAAAGTATTATTACTGGTATATAAATCATTCAGTGGGCTAGGACCTCAATATATTGCAAATATGCTCACTGAATATAAACCTAACAGATCACTCACATCATTAGGATCACATCAGTTAGAAATACTAAGGGTTTACTCTAAGCAAGGAGAGTCTGCTTTTAGCTATTATGCCAGCCGCAGCTGGAACCAGCTTCCAGAAGAGATCAGATGTGCTCCTACAGTAGTCACATTTAAATCTAGACTCAAAACACATCTGTTTAGCTATGCATTTACTGAATGAGCACTGTGCCACTGTTCGTCCGACTGTTTTTACTGTACTGTACTTTATTTTTTTTATTCTAAACTGTTTTGATTATTCTTATTTGTTTTGATTATTTTAATTTCTTCTTTGTAAAGCACTTTGAATTACCATTGTGTATGAAATGTGCTATATAAATAAACTTACCTTGCCTTGCCTTAAGCTACTAACATTTTAGACACATACAATATTAACTGTTTTTGTTCTATTTCACCGACCAAAATAGTTCCAAAGGAAAGCAACAGCAGCGCTGTCTTTTGTTACTGAATGATTCAGCGTTTTGAACAAATCTTTTGTATGAATGACTCAATGACTCACTAATTAAGACGGTCACTTGCCCCCACCTATTGGCGGTTTAGTTTCATGTTTAAGTATTGCATTTTTTTATTTGTATATTCAAACATTTATTTAAACATCAATCTCATAACATTATTTGTTGCAGTTGTAATTTTGCAGTGCAAATTATTTAATTTGATGGGTAACAGCCCTATAGTTAATATCTTATTATTATAACTGAATTTATTGATCAAATGTAAGAATTTGACATGAAAGATGATGCATACATTAAATAAGTTAATAAAAATTCTCTTTATAAAAATAACTAACACTCTGGGGTAAATATCACAAATATGAAGATTTAAGTATGTAAAATCTGAAAATATTGCTTCAGAATAAATATATTTACACCACCAAAAAATACCCCTTGACTTGACTTAAAGGTAGGGCAAGCAATTCTTTTTTCAAACACTTTTTGCTTCTGATTGAAACTCTTAACATCCTGATAAGCAATCAGTAATAGAAGTGGTCTAAATATTAAAACATGTACATATATTTTCTGCCTCTTCGGTCTGAATGCAATGATTCGATGTCCTACCTCTCTTTAAAACCAACTGAAAAAAAATGAACACCTGGCTTAATATTTTGGTATCCAATTTTATTTTCTAGTTTAACCTTGCCCAGCATGTGATGTTAGGATAGATCTCTTACCTTCAGTCCCTTTAGAGCATTTTTATCACATGGTCGAAGCAGACAGAGTCGGCGCTCTTTTCTCATCTCACACTTGCCGTTGTTGTTGTTGACTCGTACAGAGATGCCGATGCCGCAGGTGCGTGAACAGGGTGACCAGGGTGTGGTTTGGACCAAACAGTTCTTCTTCCAGGCTAAGGGAGGATCCCTGTAAGCTTTCAGTGTTACAGTCACAAAGCACTATGTCATCCCACAGCACACATTCAAACATCTGACCTCACCCCAGGCTTCACATTCAATCTATGACTACTGTATAGTTATTCTTCAGGCTTCACATTCTAACAGGACAACCCAGAAAGCTAATTTACCATGGGTTTTCTCAGGAATTTCTTGGAGGATTGAATAGCGGTTTTCTAGTTATGAATAAGGTCAATACAAATGCAATGTCATGCTACATATTACTTTGGCAAGTCTATGTAAATGTGAGTATATGTGCTTGCTGCATTATATTTACTTCCGATAAGAGAACAACAATTAGTCCTCATGTGGCAACTTACATTTTCAAAGCACACAACAGCTTTAAAATTCAGGTTTGAAGTATGTGTAAGTAATGAAAGTCTCTTCAACAAATGTTAACCACAAACTTATTTTACTCAAACCAAAAAAAAACTGTAAATCTAAAAATCCCTAAGAAATGCTGGAGCGAACCCATGATATTCAATTGTTTAATGGCAGTGCAATATAAATTCTCTTCAATTGCAGTATGAACAAATTGAATTAGTTATATTATACTTAAATATTATATATATAAACTTTTGGTCTGTTATTATGAAAACCTCAGGAAGCACATTTAAAAGATCATTCATAATATTATATTATCATTATATTATATTCATAATATTATAAGATTTAGAACACCATTCGGTTTCAGGACTAGACTGACACAGAAGTCACCAAGCTAAGTAAGCCAAGCCTGTCTGAAAGGGCGATTATCTCTCAGCAAGGAGTCAAAGAGGTGCTGGCGACAGGGAGAACCACAGAGGACTGAACTGAACTTCTGCCAGATCGGACTCACAGTCTGAGGGTGCATCCAATCTCTGGACTTTAGTCTGTGCATCTAGAGAAAATTCTCTCCAAGTATTCCCGGAATATGCACCGTTCTCAGGAACAGAAACTTGTCCTGAACCCAAAGGGGAATGAGTCATGCTAACCTTCACATGTGGCACAAACAAACTCTTTGGGGATTAATGTATGAAACTATTGTCTGTCCTGAATTCCGGGAATTCTTGGAGAGAATTTTCTCTAGATGCACAGACTAAGGTCCAGAGATTGGAGGCACCCTCAGACTGTGAGTCCGATCTGGCAGCAGTTTAGTTCAGTCCTCTGTGGTTCTCCCTGTCGCCTCCAGCTCCTCTTTGACTCCTTGCTCTGGCTACCATGTGACTGAGGACTTGCATATACTGTATGCCTCTCCGCCAGTCAAACTGATTACATCAGTCCTGGCAAGAGTTTGAGATGATTGAACTTATCAACTGTAAGTGGCACAGCGATGGCCATCCTGAGTTTGGTTTTTGGATCTAGTATCTCTCCTGGAGAAACCTCCTCGGGAGATTCCAATCAGAGCCTGTTGTCCCTTATTCTTTGCACGTTCGCTTTGTAAACACTAGGTCTGTACTTCCGCGTACGTCAAGCTTGACCTTTCAATGTGATTACGTAATGTGTGGTGCAACACAGCTAGTGCAAGACGAGCATTTGTGGTTAAAAAGTATATAAATGTTTATTTATATAAACATATAAATTATAGGTGAGTAAATTATCAGGAAATTTTAATTCTGAAGTGAACTAATCCTTTAATTGTACCTAGAACATTCATTTTAAGTCAACATGAAATCAAAATGGAACCTACATTATTTACTTAATATCTTAATATCCCGGGTCTTGTTGTTGTCATAATCTTTCATCAAAATGTAATAACCCTCTTCACCCCTGTAAAAACTTTTTTTCTGCTCATGTAATAAACTGTGTGGGTGGTGAATAATAATATTAACCAATAAATGTTTTTTCTCAGAATATAACTTTAGAAGTATGTCAAATTGCACGATGTGTGTTTTGTTGTCTTTAATATCTCCACACACAGGGTCACATTTACCTGACATGGTCCTGTAGGTGGTGTCCTGTTGGTGTTTGGGGCTTTGATTACTCTTGAGTCCTGCTGGCAAGTTGCCCTGGAGCACAGCAGGACTCAACATTCCTGCCGGCTTTTGGATGAAGGCAGGGGTACAGCCGATGGCTCCAGCGATGCAAGTGCATTTGTAGAGAGGGTTGGGCTGGAAAGCCTGTCCGTTATCATAGTGAGCCCCATTCAGGTCGCAACCAACCCCCATCATGTCTGCAAAAATATACAGGATAGACTATGGAGTACAAAAAGTAAATTTAGGTCTACTAAAATTAATTCTTCTAAACGTAATTCCTTGTTTTAGATTGTTCCCTCATTTTATTTAAATTGTGGCCATGATATATGGGAATGAATTAAAGGATTAGTTTACTTTAGAATTAAAATTTCCTGATAATTGACTCACCCTCATGTCTTCCAAGATGTTCATGTCTTTCTTTCTTCAGTCAAAAAGAAATTAAGGTTTTTGAGGAAAACATTCCAGGATTTGTCTCCATATAGTAGACTCCAATGGAGTACAACTTTGTAGTTTGAAGGTCCAAATTTCAGTTTCAGTGCAGCTTTAAAGGCTCTACATGATTCAAGTCTAGGAATAAGTGTCTTATCTAGCCAAACATCGGTCATTTTCTAAAAAAATAAAAAAAACTTTTTAACCACAAATGCTCGTCTTGCATGTCCACGAGTTCACACATTACGTAATCATGTTGGAAAGGTCACACGTGACGTCGGCGGAAAATGTAGGACGAAAAACTCATCTCATTTTCTCCTTCAACTTCAAAATCATCCGACATCATTGTTTTACCTTTTATTTATTTATTTAGTAAATGGCATTTGACTTTATCTTTGCACGTTTGTTTCAACATGGCATCATGACTTTGCGTAACATACACGCCACTTTCAAGTCAAGTGGCGTGTTATCTATACGCATTTTGAGCTGTCCGCGTGTATGTCCACGCCGTCATCTTTTGCATGTATGTCTACGCCGTTAAATGTCCGAGTGATTCCGAGTGTATGTACACGCCGTTAAATGTCAGAGCGAAACGAAGCAAAATGTAGATCTACATCTGGGGAGCGATATTTTTTTTCCTAGGATGGTAGGGGAACACTCATAAATGGTATTAACCCCAGTGACGGGTAGGTTTAGGGACGGGGTTGGGGTAGGTCATATATTTATATATACAGTAATGCAACGTTAAGTCAACGGCGTTGATAAACACGCTGAAAAGCGATTATGCGTGTTGATAGCACGGCAAAAATGGAAATACGAATTGGCGTGTCATACATACGCCATTTCATGAGATCAGTCTGTTTGTTTTGTTAACACTAGGTCTGTACTTCCGCCTACGTCACGCTTGACCTTTCAACGTGATTACGTAATGTGTGGCGCATCACAGCTAGTGCAAGACGAGCATTTGTGGTTAAAAAGTATATATATATATATATATATATTTATTTTATATATATATATATATACATTTTTTTATTATATATATTAGTTTTTTTTTTTTTTTTTTTTTATAAAATGAGCGATGTTTGGCTAAATAAGACCCTTATTCCTCGGCTGGGATCGTGTAGAGACTTTGAAACTGCACTGAAACTGCTATTTGGACCTACAACCCGTTGGAAGTCCACTATATGGAGAAAAATCCTGGAATGTTTTCCTCAAAAACCTTAATTGCTTTTTGACTGAAGAAAGAAAGACCAACATCTTGGATGACGTGGGGGTGAGTAAATTATCAGTAACTACAAGTTAACTAATCCTTTAAGGCAAAGACGCCACGATTTACAAATCAACGGAATGTGGTCACTTAGTCAGGGGAATGAATTCTTAATTCGAGGCCACAGTATTTTTTCCCGAATATCATGTGCGGGGCTCTGTATTACGCAGCTTTATTCTCTGAAAACAATTTCGCTTCTCAAGTAAATTTATCTTATTTTAAAGATGTTGTAATAACCACACAGGGTTTTCCATAAAACGTTCACTCACAAGCACAGATGCCAACCTCATAACGCGGCTGGTCTTTGGAAAAGTCACAGTACATGCTCTTGTGAGGGTCACAGACGTCCCTCTCATTGCATGATTCCCCAATCTGCCGTGCACACGTTTTGCAGCAGCCGCAGCCGTCCAAGATGGAGCTGACACCAGGGGCGCATGGCTGCCGAACACCACACTTACACGGCCAGCTACAGAACTGCCTCCTCTCCGTTGGGGCCGTCCCTCCTCGCTGCTTCTGCCTGCTAGCAGAGACCTGCAATACGTGCAAAAAGAAAACCATTGAAATAGAAACTAAATGTTTTCCATTTTGGTTTGTCCTGAGGAGAAACTGTAATTGTACATTACTGCTCTGTTGATCCACAACCTTCTTTCCAAATAGTAAGTGTCCAAGTGTGCCACACTCTGCTGCATCATTAACACGCATGCACTCAAAGTTTTGGGTCTTAGACATCATGAAATTACTTTAATATCATTTAAGAAACTGGGTTACACTTTATTTTAAGGTGTCATTGTTACAGTGTAATTATTGATTTAAGTACTGAGTAATATTAATTAATAACATGTACTTACCTTTAGGGTTAGGGTAGGATTAGAGTTTGGTTGAGGGTTAGTTGCATGTAATTATGCATAATTTACTGTTATTACTATGGTAAGTACATGAAACATATGTAACAATGACACTGTAAAATAAAGTGTTACCAGAAACTCTTATGATTCTGTCACCACTGTAGGCTAATTTGTAGTTATTTGTGAGACAATCCTGACAGTACTGTCCTTGTCTCCTGGTTGTATTATGCTCTTATCTCTTTGGTTTTGTTTTCCTTGCCAATCATTCTTGTTTTAGTCTTTTGTTTTGTGATTAGAGCATAGTTTCTTGATCCTGCCATTTCTGTCTATTCCGGATAATTTTCCTCACCTGTTCTGCCTTGTTTAGTTGCCCGTTTAATGTACTTGTGTGATCTCTTTTGTGCCAGTTTGTAGTTTTTTGTGCAAGTACAGTAGAGCATGGCGTTATGCTAAGGTCATCGTCGATTCCAAGGGAATGTGTTAACTGATAAAATGTAGGCCTATACTGTACCTTGAAATCAGTGTAAGCTGCTTTGGATAAAAGTGTCTATCAAATGCATAAACAGGGCCACAATGACCGTGACTAAAAATGAATATAAAAACAAGTGACGTGAAAGCGTCATAAGGTTTTAGTGGCGAGACCAAAAAATCTCCAAGTGGGTGGATCTTGGTGCAATAGGGTGGACTTCTATGCTTCTATTATATTATTATTTATAATTATATCAGTATGGGTTTTTTGAACGAACAATATCAATGAGGTTGACAACATCAAACTTGAAGATACATTTATACTATATGAATCAGACTTTTTAACACTGTTTATAAGAGAGAAAGAGACATTTAGGACGAACTGATTCACTGAAATGAATCAAACTTTCCAATCGTATGAGAGAAGGAAGACCGAATTAATTTGACCAGCGCCAGCCTACATACGAGACAGAGCTGACACTTGTTAACCTCCACTCACTCTGCAGTAAAGTAACATCAATGTGACATTAAAAACAGTGATCTTTGCGCTACACCACTAATCATTGGAAACAGTAGCTTGTTACCAGAAAAGTTATTTTGAAAGCATCGGAGCTCCTTTTAAAACTTGTTAAAGGGTCACCGTCGCAGTGCTTTCTTTGTGTTGAATGCAACATGCTGAATCTTGCAGAAACTCTTTAGCCACAGATCTTAAGAATAGCTGATCAACAGCTGTCACATGCTGCATAATAGCAGCATGTGCATATTAGCAGCTACTAGTCATGGACCTACTACTTTCAGTGTAGGTACTACTGATAAAGTATGTTTCATATAGTATGTAATATGAATACAATCTGGGCATACAACACATTGTCATGTGACCTCTGACATCAGCCGTGCTACTGTTCCCCGCCATTTATGTGTCCATTCTCATGGCATCATTGGATTGTAAAGTATCCATTATACTGTTTTCTATTGAAAGGAATGTGCTCCTAATTAGTTAAAAGAATAATCTAGAGTAAAGGTGTACATGGAGAAATACACAACCTCTCTCGACACGATCATAAAGGCACATGGCTTCTATTAACACTGCTATGCAAATGATATTCAGTTCTGTCTGTCGTTTAAACCTGATTACTTCAGCTTTCGTTTCTCTGCCTGCCTTTCAGACATCTCGGCTTGGATGAAGGACTCAAACATGTGAAGACGGAGCTCCTTCCAATCCCTGCAAAACCATCAGCTGACCACAACATCTTTGTACAATTCGGGTCTACAAAACTAACAACAACCAGGACAGCAAGGATACCCCGGGGGGTTGTGTTTGACGACTAATCCTTTGGAGCTTTTCCATCCATATTTTAACAATGGCCCGGTGTCAGGATCCTGTCACTTGGCAGGGCCGGCCCTTGTTTTTGGGGTCCCACCAATACTGGTATAATATTAAAACCATATAACCCATAACTGACACGAAAACTACATTCACCCCCCAGAATAGCTCTGGAATGCTTAAATCCTATTTTTTTTTTTTTATATTTCTAAGTATGCTATACAGTAAATAATTTGATTTGATCTTGTTCTTGTTTATATTGTGTGATAAAGAAGAGGCTTGTGATTTTGTTGTCATACGGTAATTTTTTTTCAAAATGCATCAAAGTGCTTCTAACATTTCAGTATTCATTCATATGTATAAGCAATGTAGTTCTGTAATTCTCTGGCTCTTTAAGTGAGGTTAGCAGCAAATCCAAATGCAAAGCCTGGAAGAGTAAAAATTCAACAAGCAGCCTTTTCAGATCTACTGACTGCACTACTGTTATACTGTAGCTGCCTATAGAAGAAAAACATCACCGAACCAGCTGCATTTACTGTGTTGACACTCTGCAGGCAGCAAGTAAACAGCCTATGTATGCAGCCCATGTCTTTTTTGCTTTTAAATACCACATAAGCATATCAGTTTACAACCTTTCTTTACATTTATTCAGGTAGATTACATCCAAGAGCCTTGCTAGAGAGAAGTAACAGTAGATAGGTAGTACATTCTGTACTGAATATTACAAACTAGTGTCATGTGTTATTAATGATTAATTTAGCCATATGATTTAATGTTAGTAAGATTCCTAGTTATTCATTTCATGTTTAAGAATGTGGATTTCTAGCTCACAGAAATAAGATATGCTGTCTTTTTCTTGAATATACTTGTGTGTCATCTTCACTTGTTTGTTCATTTGCATTATTATCTGTCTGGAACCTCCTCAGAGTACTCACGAAGATGAAATAATAAAGAGAATAGTCTTTAATCCAAATAACTCAGGGCGATACAGAGAAACAGGCTTGGAACACTTCACAAACACAACGTTAAGACAGGACACTTGAACTCAGGAAACAAGGACTATAAATACTAACTAACCCAAATGACACACTGGGAAACTGGGTTAAACAAGACACGGATGACAAAACCAACAATACAAAGACCATACATGTGACAGATCACACCCTCCTGAGAAGGCACATCCTCGAATAAGTCTATGGGGAAAAATAAGTCCATTGGGGAGAGGAGCCAGGGGGAAGTCTGGAGCAGGAGAAGCCAGATGGGTACCCATACCACAGTCAGCATAGCGTACAGTAGGGAGGAGCCATGGTGGAGATTTGGATGATGTATCCTAGGGAACGATCTCCTGCGACGAAGCCGGCCCTGATAGAGACCCAGAAGGAGCCGTGGAGACACGGAGCCTGGATGACACTAATGGTCCGGAGGGGCAAGGCGGAGCTGATGGCTCATGGGACTGAGGTGGAGATGGGGATCCGGAAGACCGCTGTTGAGCCAGTGTGACCGAGGACAACAGTGGAGCCGAAGGGATGGAAGGCAGAGGTGCAACCGGCAGACAGTAATCCAGAGGTAGAACCAGGGTGGCATCTGACCAAGGCGATGCCGGAGGGACGATTGGCAGAGCCAATATGTCGAAGGACCGAGGTGGAGTCCAGGGCTCTGTGGCTGTAGGCGGAGACAGGGGATACTTACGGCAAGGCGATGCTGGGAACTGGAAGACCCGAGGCGAATTAGCAGCACTGCAGGGAAACAGCTGTGGAAGAGCCGAGGGGAAGACAGGGACCAGAGGAGTAAGGGCTGATGAACTATTCAGGTTTGGTTGAGGAGGTGGGAGAGGGAGGCTGGGCGGGCAATCTGAAGCTACAGGGGGCGCTGTAGATACAGGGACATTACAACTGGGCAATGTCAATGAAATCGGGAAATTCTCAGGTATAGCCTTTGTAAACCAGTCTATTAAGTCCTCAAGTGACTAATAACTCAGGGTCCATGTTTCCCTTACACGCAGTGTTGAGAGTGTGAGCAGGGCTTCCATTTATGCCCTCAAACACCACCAGTACTCCCTAGAGGACGGGCGTTGTTGCCCACTCGCGCACCTGGTCAGACATTATATTCGGCTCAGGCTCCGGGGCAGAACACGGCTCAGCAGGGCTCGCTGGCTCTTTCTCCGCAGCAGGCGCAGGCTCCGTGTCTGCAGGGGAATCAGGCTTTTGCTCCGTCTGGTGTTTGCTCCGTCTGCTGGGTTAGTTGGAGGGGTGGTGGTAGGCTAAGCGAGGTTCGATGGTGAATGTCGAGTTGTTGTTTACCAGCATCCACTCCACACATGTGGCGAAATTATTCTTGGGACCGCTCCACTGAATACAATAATCACACACTGGGAAACTTGGTCAAACAAGACACTGATGACAAAACCAACAATACAAAGATAGTTACATAGTTGATAGTTACATGATAGTGGGGACGGAGGCATCAAGGTAGGGGCGTGATCAATAGGCAACCTTCCGGTCTCTCTCTTGAATCCAACACGGAAGTGACTTAAACTGCAATTCATCGACTGGCCGCTAGAGACAGCCTGTCTCTAGCGGCCAGTCGATGAATTGCAGTTTAAGTCACTTCCGTGTTGCAAAAGAGAGTCAATCCAATATACTCCCTATGTTAATATGCCTAACTTTACAGCAGAATTTCTTTTTTTTTACAGCCCATATAGATATTTTTTCCCTTCATGACAACTGTGAGGGGGGTGAATTTCTTTTATAACTCATCAATTTTAATTATATTAAGCCTTAAAGTTCTGCATAATTAAGGGCGTGGTCACTTGAGTGACAGGTGGATTGCCGCTGATGTCACTACTAGCTGTTTGTCTGCTGTCTGTTAGCTGTCACGTCACCTCAGCTAATCATGCCTCTGCACATATTCGGTTATCCAGGATTGACACATGGTGACGTGCTGCCAAGATGGGCTTCAAAGGTGCTTTTCAGAAACCTATAGGTGACGTCATGGACACTACGTCCATATTTTTTTACAGTCTATGGCCGTGATCCTTTTACCTTAATGCGGTGGAAACACAAATCAGCTTCACTAAACATGCTATTTTAACTCGGTGTCACAATCTGTGTGTTTGATTTCGTTTTCATGGACTTTTAGTTTGTTTTTCTTCAGTCACATGTTTCCCTTTGTTTTATTTTCCCGCCACAATTTGTTACCATGGACATTCATTAACGATCACACCTGTTTGCATTCTATTCATCATTAGCTTGTGCATTTAGGTTCCTCTTGACTTCTCATTCATTGTCCGGTATTGTGTGTGTGCGCGTTACACACGCTGTTACATCTTGTTATTAAAACTGAACTTTAATTATTA